TGCAGGCTGTGTGGCTTGTGATCAGCCAGGAGCCCTCCCCTATAGTTGTCTGCACTGACAGCTGGGCTTGCACTTGACCCTGTGGCTACCAACCTGGTACCATGCTAACTTGCTGGTTGGTCACCAACCCCTATGGGGGTAAGAATTATGGCAAGACTTATGGGCCTGTGGTCAGACCAAAATAATTACAGTATACCATGTGACAGGTCATTTGCCAATGGCTACATCAGCATTTGTTGCATGCAGTGCAAAAGACAATGTGGGCTGTAGCCCATTGGTGGGGCTTTCCTTTGACCTTTGAAGAAGTTAGTAGAGCCCAGCAGGAGTATGTCGTGTGCTCCAAAAGGGACTTACACCAAGTTCCACAGCAACATGGGACAATAGCTAAGGGGCCTATACCCCTCATCAGGTGGCAGATAGACTATATTGGGCCTCTACCTGTGTCAGAAGGATATCGGTATGTGATGACTTGTGTGGACAGAGCTACTGGACTTCTGGTTGCTTTTCCTACCCGTTGTGCAGACCAGCAGGTGACCAAAAGAGGCCTGGAGCATCTCTTTGTGGCCTATGGCCGACCACAGGTGATTGAGAGTGATCAGGGCACCCATTTTACTGGACATACACTGCAAGAATGGGTACGACAGCTGGGAATCAAATGGAAGTTTCATGTGCCATATAATCCTACTGCAGCAGGCATGATAGAGAGGCACAATGGCTTGTTAAAATCCGGACTAAAGTCAGATAGCAATAGTCTGTGGGGATGGTCAGTCCGCTTATGGGATGGGCTACAGCATTTGAATGAGAGGCCCCAAAAGGGAGCCCTGAGCCCTGTAGACATGTTAACACATATGGCTGCCTCTCCTATACAACTGCAAGTACAAACCAAGGAAGAATCACTGAAGCCGAGGTTTGGCCACCAGAATAACATCTTGCTGCCAGCACCAACTGCACTGAACCCCGGAGACTCCATTGAGTGGATGTGGCCTTGGACCTTTTGACACATGGACCAACAATGGCTGGCTCTCCTGGCACCTTGGGGACAAGGCCTGGAAGCTGGTCTCCTGTGTATTCCTGGAATAACAGCTGAGTGGCTCCCAAAGGTCACAGTAGTATATCCTGAACAGCCAGAAGGTAGGAGCATCTTACCAGGGAGTTCTGTTTTATCATTATGGCCAGTGCATATACCTCCAGTAGCACTATATACAGACCCTTCAGTAATCCCCATGGAGAAAGGAGTAAAACTATGGTATACTAGACCTGGAAGGGACCCCCTTTCTGCTACAGTCCTATCACAGGACCACTCTCTTGCATGCATCCTACCTGATGGACAAGATTTGCCTATGTTGGTGGTATTAAAACATGTGTCTTATTGCCCCTGAAGTCTTTGTGGATTGGGCACTTCCTCTGGCTTGAGGATTATTATAATTTTTGTTATTAGGAACCTCCCCTGGCTTGAGGATTATTATAATTTTTGTATCAAAATCTTGCTTTATCTTAATTTTTATTATCTCTAAGTTGTTGTTATCCTCTGTTGCTACTGTGGAATCCGGTTACAGTGCTCCAGCTTTCTCACACAGGGACCATTGCAGAAGACTGAAAGTGTGTAGATTGTAAGATGAGAATCCTGGAGGGGTGGAGTGTGGGAAAGTTAGGGTTCCTATGGCCAGGATCCTCACTGAACTTAAACCATCTGATGTAACTGGCCTGTTGCTGGGCTGCTGCTTCCACACCTGTAGGCAATAAGCTATTATTGTGCTATATAGAGAGCTTGGCCCAGTGCTCTGGGCGGAGGCAGAGACACTAGTGCTCGACCTACCACCAGAGAACAAGCCAGGTAATAGAACGTTTTGCTGTCGATTCCTTTGGTCACACTGAATCCATAGCGAACTTGCCTGGGGCTGAAACCCATTGGCAAGGCAGGGGTGGGGAGCTCTTTCTTAAAATAATTAATCTTCTGACTCTAAAATAATTATTCCTTGTTTTAAATCTATCTACATTTAACTTTATCTACCAGTCCTTTGTCCTTACAAATATCTCTTGGGGCCTTATCAGTTCTACTCATTCTCTCACATGAAGACAGCTATCATGTCCCTGAGTCTTCTTACTTCAATTCCTTTTTCACCAATCCTCATCTGATACCTCAACTTGAGCATGCTCCAGTATGTCTCTGTGACTCTTAAAAGGGTGGGACAGAAACATTATACTTAACAGCGAGAAGCTGAAAGCTTTTCCTTTAAGATCAGTAACAAGACAGAGATGCCCACTCTCCCCACTTTTATTCAACATAGTTTTAGAGTTCCTAGCCAAGGCAATTGGACAACACAAAGAAATAAAAGGCATCCAGATAGGCAAGAAAGAAGTTAAACTGTCCCTGTTTGCAGATGCAATGATATTGTACATAAAAGAACCCTAAAAAATCCACCCCAAAACTACTAGATCTAATATCTGAATTCAGCAAAGTTGCAGGGCACAAAATTAATACCCAGAAATCTGTTGCATTCCTATATACTAACGATGAACTTGCAGAAAGAGAAATCAGGAAAGTAATTCCATTCACAATTGCATCAAAAAGAATAAAATACTTAGGAATAAACCTAACCAAGGAAGTGAAAGACCTATACTCTGAAAACTACAGAACACTCTTAAGAGAAATTAAAGAGGACACTAATAAATGGAAATTCATCCCATGCTCTTGGCTAGGAAGAACTAATATTGTCAAAACGGCCATCCTGCCTAAAGCAATCTACAGATTCAATGCAATCCCTATCAAAATACCAACAGCATTCTTCAATGAACTAGAGCAAATCGTTCTAAAATTCATATGGAATCACAAAAGACCCCGAATAGCCAAAGCAATCCTGAGAAGGAAGAATAAAGCAGGTAGAATTACGCTCCTGACTTCAAGCTCTACTACAAAGCCACAGTAATCAAGACAATTTGGTACTGGCACAAGAACAGACTCATAGACCAGTGGAACAGAATAGAGTCTAGATATAAACTCAAGCATATATGCTCAATTAATATATGATAAAGGAGCCATGGATATACAATGGGGAAATGACAGCCTCTTCAACAGCTGGTGTTGGCAAAACTGAACAGCTACACATAAGTGAATGAAACTGGATTATTGTCTAACCCCATACACAAAAGTAAACTCAAAATGGATTAAAGACCTGAATGTAAGTCATGAAACCATAAAACTCTTAGAAAAAAATATAGGCAAAAATCTCTTGGACATAAACATGAGCAACTTCTTTATGAACATATCTCCCTGGGCAAAGGAAACAAAAGCAAAAATGAACAAGTGGGACTGTATCAAACTAAAAAGCTTCTGTACAGAAAAAGATACCATCAGTAGAACAAAAAGACATCCTACAGTATGGGGGAACATATTCATAAATGACAGATCCAATAAAGGATTGACACCCAAAATATATAAAGAGCTCACATGCCTCAACAAACAAAAAGCAAATAATCCAATTAAAAATGGGCAGAGTTGCTGAATAGACAGTTCTCTAAAGAAGAAATCCAGATGGCCAACAGGCACATGAAAAGATGCTCCACATCACTACTCATCAGAGAAATGCAAATTAAAACCACAATAAGATATCACCTCACACCAGTAAGGATGGCCAGCATCAAAAAGACAAACAACAATAAATGTTGGTGACAATGTGGAGAAAGGGGAACCCTCCTACACTGCTGGTGGGAATGTAAATTAGTTCAACTATTGTGGAAAGCAGTATGGAGGTTCCTCAAAAAACTAAAAATAGAAATACCATTTGACCCAGGAATTTCACTCCTTGAAATTTACCCTAAGAATGCAGCAGCCCAGTTTGAAAAAGAAATATGCACCCCTATGTTTATCATGGCACTATTTGCAATAGCCAAGAAATGGAAGCAACCTAAGTATCCATCTGTAGATGAATGGATAAAGATATGGTACATATACACAATGGAATATTATTCAGCCATAAGAAGAGAACAAATCCTCCCATTTGCAACAACATGGATGGAGCTAGAGGGTATTGTGCTCAGTGAAATAAGCCAGGCAGAGAAAGACAAGTATCAAATGATTTCACTCATCTGTGGAGTATAAGCACAATGAAAAAAACTGAAGGAACAAAACAGCAGCAGACCCACAGAACCCAAGAATGGACTAACAGTTACCAAAGGGAAAGGGACTGGGAATGATGGGTGGGAAGGGAGGGACAAGGGGGAAAATGGGGCATTACGATTAGCACACATAATGTAGGGTGTGGGGACACGGGAAAGGCAGTATATACAGAGAAAACAAGTAGTGACTCTAGCATCTTACTATGCTGATGCACAGTGAATGTAATGGGGTATGTGGGGGGGACTTGATAATGGGGGGAGTCTAATAACCATAATGTTGTTCAAGTAATTGTACATTAATGATATCAAAATAAAAAAATATAAAGGGTGGGACAGAGTGCAGTACTTGAGGTGTGGTCTGATGAGTACCAAACCCAACGAGATGATCAGTCCATTGTTACAGATTATGCGGTTTTCTTGTTAACACACCATGTACTTGTCTGTATTTTCTAAAGTCTAACCTGCCTTTCCACTCTTTCCTCACCTGTAATTGTGCAGTTGTTTGTGGAGCCAAGTATAAATTGTAACATTTAAAACACAATGGCTGACTTAAACTCTAATAATAATTATTAACTTCATCTTTTTAGATATGACAATTACAAAATGGAATTACCACCTAAAATGTTAGCTCATGCGCCACCATCCTCAGCCTCAGAAACGGAAATACTACCTTGCATTACATATGCCTTTGGATTTTTAGACCACTTTGTTGTATTCCGCTCCTTTTAACCAAGCCGTCTCCAATTAAGCCTCGCCCCCAGAGCTGCTTCTCAGTGGCTCCGCTCTCTTCTAGCGCGGGGCGGGAAGCGCTGGATGTAGCCGCTCATTGGCTGGCTGGGGCGCAGCTTGATGGCGTCGAGCTGGCAAGCAGCTGTTTTGACTGTGGCCCCAGAGCGAACACTTCCTGAGTGAGAGGGCCTGTGACCAGGACGTTCTGTGGCCTCGGGGAGTGATTAAGGGGAGGCACGAGCACCCCCTATTCTTCGCCATGAGTTTCCTTATCGACTCCGGCATTATGATTACCTCCCAGGTGAGCCACTGCCTCCTGCCCCGGGACCCCTCAGCCTTCTTTTCCCGAATCTGCTCCGAGCCTTAACGCGGGGGCTGACCCGCGGTCTCGCTCTCTTCACCCACTTGTCCGAGCCCCGCGTCTGGGCCCAAAGCTCGGGCAGGGCGTGCTAATTGCTGAGTCCGGATCCCTCCACTCTTGTCGTGAGGCATCCTGCGGCGATCCGCATCCCCACCCAGCCTCCCTTCCCCAGCTTTCCCGACCACTTTTAGAAAGGGTCAGACGGCCTCAGAGTGTGTGCGGCAGGAAGAGAGCTGTCTCCAAAGCGCCCCTAAGCTGCTGCACTAAGCCGCTGACCCCAGGATTTGGAAGAGTGTGGTTCCGGGCGCGGAGCGCGCGGAGCGCCAATCGGGGCTGGCTCCTGGGGACACGTGGGGACTTTGCTGGTTAGTAGTCAAATCCTGAATCCGGGTACAGAGGAGTTTGCCACCGTCACTTCAGAGATGTTCAGCGTACTCTTAAGGTTTTGTTTATGCGCTGATACCTCATCCTTTAACCTCTGTTTGCTATCCACTGTTTTCGAATCTTTTCCTGACCCTCCTTACTTCCCGACTGGCGGCCACCTTCATTCATTCGTACAGTTAACAAACTTTAACAGATATATAAAACTCTGGGAGTAGAAACATGAATAAGACACTGCCCCTGCTCTTCGGAAGCTTCATCTACTGAACCTCCTAAATTTACCATGTGATTCATTGAATTACTCTATTTTCTAAATAGCATTTATCATACCACTGATATCATTGTGTATTAATGAATTTATTTTTGAGATACTTCCTTGTTCTCCTTGTATTCCCCCCTCCAAGTGCAAGCATTCAATAAATATTTGTTGACCAGCTATCAGTATTTATAGAAGCTCAGACTTCATATTTATTGATTCCCCCCCTCCTTGTTTTTCCAGTAATTTAAAGTAGTTTTTCTTCATTTATTTTTTTTTCAAGTGGCAAATAGAAACAGTTCCTTTTGGGGGTTTAAAGTAAACTAAATCTTTTTTTATCTAGTTTTCATCTTGTTTCATCCTAATGCGTCTATCGTAGGAGTAGAGCATGTCCTTATCTCTTGAAAAACGTTTATTTCAACATTTTGGGAAGTATGAAACAACAAAGACTCTAATACAATAAACTTTTATTTTTAAATTTACCATACCATCGTTTATATAGTTTTCATGATTATTGTTTTTATTGACTACATAATATTCAAATGTATTGATGTACAAAAGTCTGGGCATGCAATTCTCTTGCTTTTCTAACTTTATTAACTTTTCTAAGGTTCAGCTCAGGGTTACTTAAACCCTATTATCAAGAAAAATGACCATATTTAAGTATCATTTTTTTCACTCAGAATAAAAATGAGATGCCAAATTTCATTATAGCCTCCAAGATATTTTTTATTAAGACATCATTGATATATACTCTTATGAAGGTTTCACATGAAAAACAATGTGGTTACTACATTCACCCATATTATCAAGTCCCCCCATCAGTGTAGTAAGATTCCACAGAGTCACTACTTCTCTGTGCTACACTGTCTTCCCCATGATCCCCCCCACACCATGTAAACTAATCATAATACCCCTCAATCCCCATCTCCCTCCCTTACTCCTCCCCTTTTGTAACCGCTAGTCCCTTCTTGAAGTATGTGAGTCTGCTGCTGTTTTGTTCCTTCAGTTTTGCTTCGTTGTTATACTCCACAGATGAGGGAAATCATTTGATACTTGTCTTTCTCCACCTAGCTTATTTCACTGAACATTCCAGCTCCATCCATGTTGTTGCAAATGGTAGGATTTGTTTCTTTCTTATGGCTGAATAGCATTCCATTGTGTATATGTACCACCTCTTTATCCATTCATTTACTGATGGACACTTTAGGTTGCTTCCAATCTTGGCTATTGTAAGTAGTGCTGCAATAAACATAGGGGTGCATATGTCTTTTTGAATCTGAGATCTTGTTTTCTTTGAGTAAATTTCTAGGAGTGGAATTCCTAGGTCAAATGATATTTCTATTTTTAGTTTTTTCAGGAACCTCCATACTGCTTTCCACAATGGTTGAACTAGTTTACATTCCCACCAGCAGTGTACGAAAGTTCCTCTTTCTCTGCATCCTCACCAGCATTTGTTGTTTCTAGTTTTTTCGATGTTGGCCATCCTAACTGGTGTGAAGTGATACCTCATTTTGGTTTTAATTTGCATTTTCCTGATAATTAGCAATGTGGAACATCTTTTCATGTGCCTGCTGGCCATCTGAATTTCTTCTTTGGAGAATTGCCTGTTCATATCCTCCTCCCATCTTTTTATTGGATTATTTGCTTTTTGGGTCTTGAGGTGTGTGAGTTCTTTATATATTTTAGATGTTAACCCCTTGTCAGATATGTCATTTACAAATATATTCTCCCATACTGTACGAAGCCTTTTTGTTCTGCTGATGGTGTCCTTTGCTGTACAGAAGCTTTTTAGCTTGATGTAGTCCCGTTTGTTCATTTTTGGTTTTGTTTCCCTTGTCCGAGGAGATGGGTTCAGGAAAAGTTGCTCATGTTTATACTCAAGAGATTTTAGCCTATGTTTTTTTCTAAGAGTTTCATGGTTTCATGATGACTTACATTCAGGTCTTTGATCCATTTTGAATTTACTCTTATGTGTGGGGTTAGACAATAACCCAGTTTCATTCTCTTGCATGTAGCTATCCTGTTTTGCCAACACCAGTTGTTGAAGAGGCTGTCATTTCCCCATTGTATGTCCGTGGCTCCTTTATCATATATTAGTTGACCATATATGCTTGGGTTTATATTTGGTATAGCCTCCAAGATTTTAAAGTGGGTTTAATTGGTTAAGTTGAACCAATAAAGTGGCTTTCTGATTTTCTATGGCATATAATACTTTAAGTTTCACAAATGCATTTCCTTGCAATATTAAATGTAATTCTCAAACACACTCTTTACAGATGAGGAAACAAAACACAAAGAATCCTTTGCATGGAATGTTCTCTGTCCAGTTATTCATACGGCTACTTCATCATTTAGGTATCAATAAAAATGTTACTTCAGGGAGGTTTTACCTAACTCCCTACCCACAAAGTAGCCCCTGTTCCAACCACCTTTTATCTCATTTCCCTGTTTTATTTTCTTGTTAGTATCTATCGCTATTATTTGTGTGTTCATTAGATTAAACTTCATGAAGTCCAGGACATTCTCGGTCTTGTTCTGTGCCTCAGCATTAGACCAGTTGCTGGCACACAGTAAAGGCCTAGTAAATATTATTCTAAATAAGTATGCTAAAGTTACCTAAGAAACACCTCTACTTCATGTTTTCTGTTTTGTATGAATGGAAAGATTTACTTGAAATGAATTCTGAATTCAAAGGTTATACATTGAAGCTGGTCAGCCTCAGGCAACATGGTAGTGTAGAGATTGTTCACTGTGCCTTAGAATAAAGTTCAAATTCTCAATTTGGCTTATAGGTCTCTTATGATAAGACCCCAGCTCTTAACACTGCAGCCTTACACACTAATAAATATTTGTTAAAGGAATACAAGGGTAAATAAATGATCCAAGAAAGGGTCTTTTCCAGTTCCTTCTTTAATAACTGTCCTGCCAATGGTTCTCTTTTTTCTTTTTTTTTTTTTATCTGGAGCTAATTTTCAATGTAGGAGTTATTTCTGTATAACCACTGTTATCTAATTCATGTTTTGAGCCTTCTGTGCATTTATAAAACTTACCAGTTTCAAAGTACACTATAAGTCCGAAGGGCAAGACTGCACAATTTTTGAAATACTCTTTTGAATATGAAGTTGTGCACCTTCTACTTTATTTGCAAAACTGTTTAAATTGCTTTCTCCTTCTGCATGCTTTTTAAATCCTCTATAATCTTGCCAGAATTCATGTTTATCTTGGAATTATTAAACTCTCCAGTTAATTTTTTTCATGTTATTTATGTAAATATCCTTTTAAGCTTTTGTGTCGTGTGAAAGGAGCCCACAAGGAAATATTAAAGGTATATGTGTCTTTCTTCTTTTCTTCCGTTTCCCAGCCCCTCATATAGACTTACCATTTTCGCTTGTTTTCTTTTCCTTGTCAAAAGTCCCATTTCAAGTTGATCTTGGTAATATGTATTTTCTTTTTTATCATCCATTCCATCATACACACCACTCCCAGCCCTAAATACCCAACTTCAGTCAATTAATTATAATAATTTATAATCTAAGGGTATTTTCTATTCTATTTGTCCCTTTTGTTCTCCACTGGGTCTCTGAGCTACTCTCTCATACCCTCTGTTTCTTTGCCTACATACAAAAGTCAACACTTGGATCATTGCTGTAGTTTGCTATTAATTCAGGAGCTTGAATTGTGCTGTAGAAAACCGTGCAGATTGCCAGCGCCATGTGTTTATGGACACCCTCAGCTCATTGAATCATTATTTCTCTTGATTTTAATCAGCTACTTATTCCATTCCCCTCATAATTCTCTGAGTCTGTATCCCTACCTTCAGTCCCCTTTTCCATCTTCACTTCTCTTACTCTTAGCAGATGGTCTGGCCTACTACTTTTATCAACAAAAGGGAACCAAAAGCTGTGGTCTCTTTCTACTTCCTAAAGCTTAATCTAAGCAGTTATATCTATATCCATAACCATTCCCAACTCCTTTCCTCCCTTGTCAGAGAATAAGGTGCCCCCTACTACTGTTGAAGCCCATCCTCTCCTGTGCCTTTAATCTTGGAGCAGTTTATTGTGAAGTGTTTAAAAGCACAAACATTGGAGTCCGTCACACAGACTTCAGATTAAATCCTGATTAAAACTCTTACGGATTAATCTCTATAAGCTTCAGCTTTCTCTAAAATCAGGACAATCAAACCTACTTTATCAGATTCTTATGATTTAATGAGATCACAACTCTAAGTACTTGAAATACAGAAATACAGAGATGGTTGATAAAGGGTAGCTGTTGTTAATGACATCATCAACCAGGTTCT